TATATATATATATATATATATATATTTTTTTTTTTTGGAAGCCTTTGCTTCTGTTGAATGGACTGATCCTTTCGTTGTGTTTTTATGGAGCAGGATGCTAGAAATTACTGCGGAATATTCTCGGCTTCAAGCTCCTGTAGGATGGTCTCTTAAATGTTGTTTTAACCTGCAAAAAAACTACTTTTGGAGTCTTAATCAGTGAATTTTTGTAACTTGAGCTTCGATTTAATTGAACTAATTTGAACAATTGACTTCAGTCTTGGTTATAAGAAATGTCTGCATGAATGATGTGTAAATTGGGTGGCGACGTAGGCTTTCATAGTAACTTATTGTATGGGAGATAAATTGCTTTTGAAAAGAAGAAATGCTTCACTCGTGAATAAATTTTAAGCATTGCTTTGCCTTTTTTTCCATTTTTTAAAATTCCACCGACTTCAGGACAATTATAGGTTTTTCAAATACTGATTGGTAGAATTTTAACTAACAATAATGTCTTTGAAGCCGACCAAAATCCTTGTTAGCGGAGACGTCAACGGTTGTTTCGAGCAACTAATTAAACGGGTTTCTGCTGTTAATGAAAAGGTCAGTAGATTTATGGATGAGAAAATAGCATAGTATGCTTGGATTTTTGACAGGTGCTAGATTATGATGCAGCATTTTAGAATGGGCCATTTGATATGCTTTTATGTGTTGGCGAGTTTTTTGGACCTGCGGACGAAGAGAACGAGAAAGTTGTTAATGGTGATACTGAGTTCCCAATCACTACATATATACTTGGTTAGACATTTTATTTACTTTGCATTCAGAAATTCTATAGGAGTTTGTTTAGTTGAAGACTTTTTAGGATTCTGCTTTTTGAACTGTTGTCCTATTGAAACTGCTGGCAGCTCATAATTTGCCATGAAAATTTTTTCAAAACACGGGTAGATTCAAAAAGAAATTTTTGTTTTGTCTGGTTTTTTTAAATCTTCATAATTACTCAGGTCCTTGCTGTCCATCGACATCAAAGTATTATCCCGATGAAAGTACCGAATTCTCAACCAGTTTGACTTATCTAGGGAAAAGAGGGGTATTGAATACCACTGCTGGTCTGCAAATTGCGTTTTTAAGTGGAATTGAAAGTTCTCAGGCAAATCCATTCCAAGTAATAAGTTTGAATTACTCTGCAGGTTCTCTTTTCTGTAGCTTATAAGTCATTACAAGTCGTTTTCTTCTTAGTTTGATTCAGGTTCTGTTGAGGAGTTGTTGACGCCTGTAAAAATGCAATCTGGATTTTTGGGAGTTGATATACTGCTCACTTCTATGTGGCCGGCTGAGGTAATACTTCTCCTACATTTCTTTCTGTACAGATGGGAATTAATTTTTACTTGGACTTGAAGGTTTCGAAACATTCGCCAAACCAACCAACGAGAAACATTGAGGGGAGCAGATTGATTTCAAAACTTGCAGCTGGGTTAAAGCCACGATATCATTTTGCTGGACTTGGGTCACACTATGAGAGAGCACCTTATCGGTCAGAAGCTTTGTTCTATCTTTATATTGTTAGTTTATATTGTAAGTAATTATAGATTTTCAGAAACCACCGTACTTTATTAGAAGCGGCACAACACACAACTCGCTTTATAGGACTTGCTCCAGTTGCAAACAAAGAAAAAATGAAATGGCTCTACGCATTTTCGCTGATTCCAGCAAGAAAAATGAACAGAGATGTTCTGGTGCAGCAGCCTCCTAACGCATCGGAATTTCCGTATATGACGCTTTTGGCTGACATCATTTTAGAGTAATAAAAGTTTGCATTATATATGGTGTTGAGAGGGAAAAAATTTCGTTAAATAGCTGAAATTTTCAAAACTGTTTACCACTGTTGAGAGGACTGCGTAATGAACACTTTTCCAGGAACAGAGCAAACCAAGCAACAGTTGAAGGAGCCAGTAAGTCGCAGTATTTTTATGATATGACTGAACATAAAGACGATGAGGCTCAAGGCAGAAACAAAAGGCGGTACGACAGTGGTAGGTTAATAATCTTTTAATTTGCTTGGAAGGAGTATCTAATTTTGTCAAAAATTTCAGAAGAGGTTTTTATCCTGGCTTTTCCTTTATTTCTTTAGGAGTTTCACGCGGGTAGATCTTTTTTTTTTTGAGAAGTATTGCTAAAATTTCATCTAGTGTCACTCTGGTTTTTTTCTTCTTTTTAGATTCGGGAGGCCCACCCTCGCGGCAACAGCGTGTGCAACAACCATGTTGGTTTTGTCTCTCAAATATAGATGCAGAAAAGTACTTGGTTGTTACTGTTGGTACAACTTGTTATTCGGCTATGCCGAAAGGTCCACTGACCGATGACCATATAATGGTACTTCCGATAAGTAAGTAATTTTGTGTTTTTTTATTCTTTGCGAAGATTTGTCTAATTTCAATTTAAAAAAATTTTTTCTTTTGACTCTTATGAGATATTTTTGTTACAGGTCATGTTCAGTCACTTGCAGCTTCTTCAGAAGAAATCCGTGAGGAAATACAGAAGTTTAAAAATGCTTTTAACTTAATGTTCGCGCAACGTGGTAAAGTGCCAGTTATTTTTGAGCGCAATTTCAAATCACGTCACATGCAGGTGAGTTTTCAAGTAATACTTCCGTACGAATTTTTGGGAACAACGAGATTTAGAAAAAGGCATCAGTTTTTTTTTATCATCTTTCAATCTCTTCTGCACTCATTTTTTTGCTTATCTACTCTCATCTTGAAGCTTTCAGTTACAAATTGTTCCTGTTCCAAAGTCGTGCACGAAGATTCTAAAAAGTACTTTTGTAAATGCTGCACAGCTACGAAACGTTGATATTGCTTTTATGGAAGCTGGACAAGAAGTAATTTTACAGTTCTTTTTTTGCAGTTTCGTAGAAGTTTGTTTTAAAACGATTTTTTACTTTCTAGGCAGAATTTCTTTCATTAAGAGACCTAACCACTCATACCTAACTCATTGAATTGTATCTAGACTGATTCGCCATACGTGTTTAAGATTTGGGATATTGTGAATGAAGGTTGCCCGTACTTTTATTTGGAACTACCAGATGGTTCTCGTCTTTTTACGCTAAAGATGCATAATTTTCCTATCCAGTTTGCTCGCGAGGTTTAGTTTTCATTTCAACTGTTAAAGTTAATAGATTTACTCATAGGTATGCCAGTAACTGCAGATTTAAGGTGCTTGCTGGTCGTGCGATTTTGAACTGTGAGAGGAAAATTGACTGGCGGTCTTGTGAACTTGAAAAGAGTGTTCAATTGAAATTAGTGAAGAAGTTACAGAAAGACTTCGAGGAGTTCGACTTTACTGAGGGCTCTGACGAAAACAGTGATTAACCGTGATTAGTCTTGAGTATTTTTTGAAACTGTCATAACTACCTCTTGTTAGCCTTAGTACTGCTTCCTCCATAATTCCAGCTGTGTTCTGAACAATATTTTAATCCAAATTTGAAATTATTAAGTAGTTTGGAAAGTCTTAAGTTGTAGTTTTTTATGCAATATTTGAAATACCATTCCCTTCTGAACTGATATTTTAAATGAAATGAGTTGTCTCATTGCTTCGAAGACTTTCAGAACCCGAACACAGTCAGGCGGTGCTCAGGATATTTATTGTTGATCTGTTTCTTAGGAGCCTCTTTGATAGCACAGTCTTTTAATATCGTTATGTTAATACATTAAAAAACGGTCATTTGTTTCAACTTTTCTTCCAGTAAAGAATAAATTAAGAGAAGAAGAACTGCTTACGATATCTTTAGTATAAATATAAAATGTATTGCAATGCTAGTATTCATGCTAAAATTTAGTTGTTGTTATACTTTTGACGTCTTCGGTGAATACCAGTGTAAGCTAGGGAAGTACAATCAAGATTAGAAATTTCAATGGGCAGTTTTTTGTATTTTCAGGATTATCGAAAGCTTTACGAAGACTAGCACATGTTTGGAAATTCCATTGTTTATTTTGGAAGTGCTATTTCTTATGCTGCCGATCATACATAATTACACCTATACTTTTATTTTTAAAGGAGAGGCAAGTTTAATGTTAGACCCCCTTAAAGTGTTTTAATAATTAACAGGATTATTTTTCTCTATTAATATTGTTCGTTGGGTTGGGTTTCCGCGAGTTTCTGTGCCCAGATACAGATTGCTGGTAAAATTGTTTGTTGAGGGAACAGTGGGTGCAGTAATATGTAGTACAGTTTTTATAACTAATTAGAAGCATCTTGCAAGCCGATGTCAGTGGTTCGGGTTTTAGAGAAGGAAATTTCGTAAGTTGCGACTTTGGCTAGTGGTTCGACAATCAAAACGTTTTTGCGTAGCATATTTTCTCTGTGCAGCTTGGCTGATTGTGGTTTGGACCAGAAACTCATAAAAAAAAGACTTCGGTCAGAACTGTTCAACATAGACGGTGTTAAACGCGTATGAAGCTTCACAATTAAGAGGTAGTATCCATTGATGCAAAAGTTTTTTGTTTGTTTAACATAAAAACGGCTAAAGTGTATTAAACGACTTCAAGATTTGCTCGAAATATATACATCATAAATAAAAAAGCTTTTCACTTGACATGTCCAGTTCTTCTTAAGGGAACTGGAAAGAAAAGTTAGTTCAAAAATACAATCCATTAATACTTTTTAGATTGTAGATACAAATCATTTAGATGCTCCAATTGGCCTCTTTTTTTTTTTTTTTTTTTTTTTGATGGGTAAGTTGTAGATCATTCATAACCTCAGTTGATGAATAAGCAGTAACTGTACATAAAAAGGCGAATGGTTAGCTATACCCAAATGTTATTTTTTTTTTCTATTTTTGAAATGTCAAAAGAATAAACTGTAGAAATGACCAAGTGACCTACGGTGTTAAATTATTAAATTCAAATTCACTTCAAATTGCCCCTATCTTATGTGTGAAAAAAGGTACATTTTCTATTTCAACAGTTCGTTTACAAATTAACAAACAAAGGAAAAAAATATGAAACAATTTTATAACTGTATTTGCTAAAAGTAACCAGCAGACAAATATGGGTAAACAAATGATAAAAATTGTTGAAAATTGCTAAAACAAATTTTATGTAACAAAAAATTATTTGTATAAGGGAAAGCACGAGAAACAACGTTCTGTACAGTAATTTACATCATGTTTCTGTGAAGAACTCCAAGAGTTTAGAGCAGGCCTAGACTTATGACTGTGGGTGGACAGTATTTTAAAACTGTGGGTAAGCGAATGGTGAGTTTGAATTTTCCAGTTTGCAATCCCTACTATTAGTATTATATTTCCATGGCGAGTAACCTAGCGTACACGTGTTATATTCCTCATCCGTTTTCGTTGGTAGTTGTTGGTAGGGAAACTGCGGAGCCAGCGACGGCATGTTAAATTGGGAGGGAGCGGGTTGAACATAATCCGACTGATACTGGGGCCATTGCTCATTGGTCCTTTGACCAAAGTGTAACCCACAATTCGAAATGAAAAATGCTTCAGCTGGAATACCATCAAAACCTGGATTTCTTTTAACATCTGGTGATGGTGTAGATCCTATAAAATAAATGTTTGCACTTTTAATTCAACTGAGAGGCTTCTGAATGACTGAAAAAAAAAAAA